AAAAAAAAAACAAAAACAAACAAAGACAAATGACTTCGTTTATAATCATTCTTCCCAATTAAGTTACATGAAGTATTAGAATGACGTTGTACTCTACCTCTCAACTGTATTTTTTCTTATTTCACATAAACCAGCAAGTACTTTCAATGAGTACCAATGGTTTCAAGTCAGGCTGGGTACATGGACTTGATTTTATATATATTTAGCAAACACCAAAAATGTAACCTAAATGGAAGGAAGATGAGAGTACAGTTGTGTACTTGGTCATATGTTCTACAGGGAAGCAATCAAGTAGTTATACGTTTGATAAAAAGCCCTTACACCCCTCCCCCCTCAAAAATCAAAGAACACAATCATTGTCAGGTCAATTTCTTCTGATGGTTTCCCAGAGAATTAAATGACTCCCTACAACATGGGAAATAATTTTTAAAAAGCAATGGTTCCTGGAGAAGAACAAACAAGATGGTGGATCGGGTGGAAGTGCAGTGAGGAGCTTCGCCAGCAACAACACAGAATACAGGAACAAGCAGGCTGGCTCAGGGGATGGTCCCAGAACTCTGAACCACATATAAAAGAATATTTAGAAGGTTGGAAGGCATACAGCTAGGGGCATTTGTAGCAGAAGCAAGAAATCCATTGCTTTCTAATTCAAGACGCTCAGCTGTTCCAGGAGCTGCCATCTTGGGTAAAACCAAGCGGGGGAAGGATCAGAGCAGCCACAGGCACCTGGCAGAACCGCTGAGATAAAGGTGTGGGGACATTCTTTTCTTTTGGCATCTGTTCATTGGTCCGTTGCTGTCTGCGCACCTCCATTCTGATGACTACAGGGGTGCCTGAGCTAGTGGACACTCCAGCCCCACCCTTGGAGGGTTCTACTACGCATGCGCACAGATCTCCTTGAAATTTAAAGAGACAGTTTCCAATTATAACCAAATGGCTATAGCCGGCCCTGAACTATTTAGAACTAGAAAAAAGGCCTGAACGGGGATTGTAGAGCGGGACAGGCAGACCAAAAAGGAAATAGGCCGAAAATTAAATCCTAAATTATGTCAAAACGACCAACAATGGAATCTTGAAATTTCTCAAGAAGAAGAGTGAAAAGGGAA